AGACAGACAGACAGACAGACGCGACCAAAAACATTACCTCGCCCTTGGCGGAGGTAATAATGCATTAGTCTTATATAGCGCTTTTCGAGACCCTCAAAGACGCTTTACAATTTTCATGGATCATTCAATCACACACACATTCACACACTGATGACAGTAAGCTACATTGTAGCCACAGCTGCCCTGGGGCAGGCTGACAGAGGCGGGGCTGCCATGCTGCGCCACCGGCCCCTCTGACCACCATCAGTAGGAAAGGTGGGTGGTGTCTTGCCCAAGGACACAACGACTGAAACGGCTGGACTGGGGATCGAACCGGCGACCTTCCGGTTCCAGGACGACTCCCCTAACCACTCCGCCACGGCCGCCCAATGAATTGAGTTTAGGCTAGGTTTAGGATCAGSTATAGTGTGTACTGAGGTGGTTAAGTTTAGAGGTCAGGGTTCAGCTAATGACTGAAAAACAAATGGAAGTCAATGCAAAGTCCTCATGAAGATAGAAAAACTGTTGTGTGTTTAGTTGTGCTGCTCCTCACACTAAATACTCAGCTGTCTTTTCTGTTACGACAGGCRGGTTTTACCAAAAGTGTTCCCTCAAAGAAAATAACTCACAAAACTAAACGTCAAAAGGAAGTTCATTTCTTTCCACACGTTAATTCACCTTCTGTTTTTGTTCTGCCGCAGGCATCGTGACCGTCATCGACGCTAAATATGGGCTGCAGGTATGTGAGGGAAACATCATGTGAATATATTTTTCAAGTGACTTTGGGGGTTTTAAATTCCTGTTAGTGGAACAGTTAGAAAATATGAACAAGTTTCAGTTTTTACTTTTAATGTTTTTGGGGGTTTTTTTGCACAAAAAATTTAGTTTTATGACTAAAACATCCAAAATAAGAAGCTGTTTTAGTTGCACTTTTATTTTTATTATCAAATTTGCCACAATTAGCTCAAGTTGTGACTTTCTGGACAAATTTGCCGTCGAAACTTTGAATATTTTTCCTGATTGAATAAACACGTCGCCCACTCTCTGTGGCGCCCCAACGGGAGACGGACGTGTGACACTCGGATAATGGGATGTAATTCGGTCGCGTCGCGCTCGGCGAAGGTGAGGCGTTTGACGGCRGCTGAGCTGTTCTGTCCTCAGAGGGAAGCAGATATAACTCCYGCTGATGGAGGGATGGAAATCAGGGATGTTTAATGGGACTGTCACGTCCACTCACCTGACTCCTCTATAGCCAGGCCTCTAAAATATATTTGTCTAAAAATAGATCAGTTTTACATTTGTCCTGTTTTTTTTGTTCTCACACCATTTGAAAGTAAACATGTTGTAATAACTATTAATATTTTGCTGTCCCTCAACAACAAAAGGTGTTGCGACCCAGGATGGATTCAAGTCAGATTAATGC